AGGGAGGGAAGGAGAGGAAGTGGGAGAGAAAGAGTTAGGAGGATGAGCGAGAAACGGGACGGCCGAGGGGGGCATCACTAGTGTATACCGCGTACCCGGACAGCGGGCGATTTCCCGACTATTTCATATTATTACGGAGTATTTTGCGATATTTCCGGGGGGTTTCGCAATCATCGTTGCACCTCATAGTTCGCGTCTACTTCCAACTATTTCTCTGAAATTCCGCTTCGCACTACTGCGGCACTGCGAATTTATTTTGCGCGCAGGTGTACGACCCATTATTTCGCAAGTGAATTCCCCTATCGGGTGAAGCGGGAAGGGCGCAGGAATGGGCCACGTGAGGGGGAGCGTTTCGTCCTTTAATCGTCTCCAGGCAGGAGGCGTGTCGGTGACCGTGAGGAGACGCACCCCCGCAACCCCTCGAGGCACACCTCTTCCTCTCCTCCCCTCCTCTTCCCTTCCTGTCCATTTCATCCCGTGCACGGCGCAGGTCTGAGCCCACCCCACCCCGCGACTAACGGTGAAATACCGTTTTAATAAGCCGCTTTGGGGGAGGAGGGACAGCTGACGTGAGTGGCCTGACCCACATTATTATTATTATCATTTTTATTATTTTCCGCCGCTGCTGCTGCTCCTCCTTTTTTCTCCATTTCGTCCAACTTGCTATTTTACCCGAGACCAGCAGCGCGCAGAGCGTGGTCGGTGATCATCTCTTCTCTCTGCTGCTGCCACGGCGGGGCCGAGCGCGGGGCCGCCGCCGTCTTAAAGACAGAGAGAGAAGTAGACAGAGAGAATGAGAGACTGTGTGGGGAAGAGGAAGAGAAGGAGGGGGTGGGGGTTTCTTATTGGCGGCGCAAAATGCCGCAGATGCAGCCAAGTGCCCGGTCCACTCCACTTCCGCGGGACGGGATGAAGGCCGGCGCCGGCCCTCCCTCAGGGTTAAACTACCCCCCGATCGTCTTCATCGTCCACCCCCCGAGGAGCGCCGAGGAGGGTCAGGCCAGGCGGCCAGGCACACGACACGCGGGGGAAATGAGAAATGGAGCCCGGCCGGCCGCGGGCTCAGGCGGCCTGGGGTTCGAGCCCCACCCAGCCGTAGGGGTCAGCTCTGTCATTGGCAGGGTACCCGGGCGGGCCGGGGCAGGCGAGCGGGCAGCAGCGCCAGGGTGGCCTTGTCCACGCCCCGCAGGACCCCCCCACCGGGGTCGCCTTTTGTCCTGTACAGTCCGACTCAAAAGGCCGTCAGACTTGCGGGGGCTCCGGACGCACAAATTGAGAACGGACGGACGGACG